CTTAAATGAAAATGCTCAAGGAGCTTTGTGGATCTCAAATCCATGGCATGATTTTCACTGAATAGTTACAAGAAATAACAAGTAACTTCTATATCAATGAAAGGTTTATAGTGCTTTAGCTTATCAACATGGGTCCACATCCATCATAAGAAAAAAAATAACTGTTGGCATTGGGTATTTTTAACAACAAAACCAAGCCACATAGCATGGAGAACATTACTCCTGAAAGACACTGAAGTCTTCTAATGTATTATTGCATTAATCCAGATTGCATACCAGCTGTGCAATTTATGGTCCATCCTTAGTATGGAATATTATTCAGTCTCTTAAAAGGAATGAATGAAATATACCCATTAGCTTTCCACGTGATAATAGAGATGTTTTAAAATGTGATCTAATACTAATCATTTGAATATGGTGATATGAACAGGAAGAAAAAAATGGAAGAATATATACCAGCTAGTTAAAATAAATTGCCTGGTTGGGGGTGTAAGTGGGCATGGGGATAGGAATAAATGTGCAGAGAAAGGGCAGCAAAGCAAAGAGAAAAGAAGAAAAATGCTTCACCTTAAAACATATGAAATACACATTTCAAATTGCATATGCATGTAGAAAAGACATGTTAAAAAAGAATGTCACACTTCCTCTATACCCAAAAGAACATAATTATAAACAGGAATATTATCCTTATATGATATGAGTTTATAGCTATGGAACAGTGGAATATGCTCTAGACTGAGAGGCAGAAAGTTTGGGTATGAATCCAGTCCCTTTAACTTCCTATCTGAGAGAGTCTGAGCAAGCTCCTCAGAGTTTCCATGGGGGGAGCGGAAGCAGCTATGACTTTCAGTTTAAACACTGATTTTTCAATTTCCTAGCTGTGTGACACTGAGCACTTATCACATTAAAAAATGAGGATAAAATTGCATATATTACTGTAAGAATTAAATGAGATCACACAATTTAACAATTGAAATCTATATCAAATTTCAGGAAGAAGTCTTTTTTTCCCTTTAAATGCCATCTTCCAGTTATTTCTCTCATATCTGTAGTCTAAAACCTAAAAGTTTTAAGTTTGAACACTGCATGATGACTTAACAACCCCTATTAAGTGTTATGTTATTTCGTACACTTTGTAAGTGCTATAGTTGTAGTGACTGGGGAAATTAATATGCACCAAATTGATCTGAGAGGCTTCATACTAGGGGTCTTGAATCACGGGCAGAATTTGCACGGGAGAAGACGTTCTAGGTAGCAGAAAAATCTGAACAATAGGTACTCTTTCTGATCCATACTGAATCAATAATTCACATTCTCCTCAAAGATTTCATGTTGGAAAAATTAGAGGATAATCTTGACACGTAGAAAAGGCTCATATTTTGTAAGTAATTGAAGATGGGTGCAATAACTTTAAATATATGGAAAATTAAGAAATGCAGGGTTATCATTTAATTGGGGGGGCATTGAATTAAAAAGGACTGAAGAAATGATGCCATCATCAAATGAGTATGTATAGACTGTTGGTTATGCCTAGCATGAAGATTGTGGACTATTTGCTTAGAGACTTTCTTGTACGTTTTTAAATTGCTATATTGTGTGCAAATATATTTTTCCTAACCACAGTGTAATCAATCAACTAACAGATTTTTTAATTAGGGGATTATAGTGTCTCCAGTTAATAACAAGTTTATACACAGTAAGGGAATTTATCTTACACTTCTTTGGTGTCCATTCATCTCATTGTTTGAGACCCACCTTAAAGTATTAAGATCTTTGATTGAATCCCTTGAAATACTATAACCCTTCTCCCAACCCCAGCTGCTCGTGAAGAAGAGTTTGAAAATTAATATTTATTAATGAATTTGTGATACATGTTAGAGGTTGAGGAGACTGAATTTCAAATCCTAATATTTATTCCTCTCACTGTCAAATGGTACGTGAGGAATAACAGACAAATGGAAAATAAAGCACTACTTTATTACTTCTTTGGCAACTTCCTTACAAATCCCCAAAGATCCACCCTGGAAAAACTGAGTTGAAGCCATATTACGAGCTCAAGGCTACACTGGTAAAGCCTAATTCTTCTCCCTGCTCCACTTCATCAATTTGAGATTGTTGGGCCATCTCTTCCACCTAAACTGCATGATGTTAGAGATAAGCATGGAGAGCTTCACCTGAGAAAGCTGGCTCACCCAATATGCTTCCAGTATGGAGTATCTAAAGCAAAAGAGCAAAAGCCAGGCTGTTCAGAGGGTTCAGACTCTCTTATCACCTCAATCACAAGGTCACAAAACAGAAGAAGGCAGTGACATTGATTCACGAACCAAAAAAGAAAAGGTATCTGCCTTAAAGGAAGAACGTAACTTGGTACAATGAATATCTTGAGCTCGGGATAACTAATTGCAATACAATGTGATAAATTTCAAAATAGGTAAGTACTGGATGGAATGATGACACAAAAGTAGAGCTGATTAATTCCTTGTGTGAAACCAGAAAGGCTTCATAGAGAAAGGTACATTAGGTATAAGCAGATGTTTGTCAGAGTAATGATGATAACAAGGAGGAAGCTCCAGAAATAGGGGATTTGGTAAACCATAGAAAGTCTTGGGAAAAATAAACAGTTTAGCAGAACTAAAGAAACACATAGGGCAAATGTGACAACCAGGGGGGTAGGTTCTCTTTATCTCACAGACTTTGAGTGGGTTTAAATTTTTTCATGTTAATTAAGTGTGTGGTGTGTGGGCATTTGAAGGCGTGGGTGATGTCCACACCGTGGGGCAGTGTCACTTGGGGATGGGGTGAGCCCCCAGGCAGCGGGTCACACTGGGTCCTGCTGAGGCAGAGCTGCTGGGCCTCAGGGGACATGGCTTCATTGCACTCCTCCATATGAGGGCTCGGGAGCTGCACATTGGAAGTGTGTTTCCAGCAGCTGTATGTACTTTTGTATGTACTTTTCAGTTCAGCATCTTAACACATTCCTGTCATTGTAATGTTCATTTTTGGTTTTGTGGGGTTTTTTTTGTCGTACGCGGGCCTCTCACTGTTGTGGCCTCTCCCGTTGCAGAGCACAGGCTCCGGACTCACAGGCTCAGCGGCCATGGCTCACGGGCCCAGCCTCTCCGCGGCATGTGGGATCTTCCCGGACCGGGGCACGAACCCGTGTCCCCTGCATTGGCAGGCGGACTCTCAACCACTGTGCCACCAGGGAAGCCCCATTTTTGTATTTTTTAAACCGAGCCCAGTGAAAACTTTTTTTGAGCCCTTTTTCTTGTTGATTATAGAAACAGGGGGCAAGTGCTATGAGGCATTTATGCAATAAATATATATTTATACGTGTGCACACACCTGTTTTTTTTTTTTTTTTTTAAGAGAGATCCTTACCTAATAAAAAAGTAAGTGAGCAGTTATGAGAAGGTCTGAAATCTCATACTAAAGAATACAAGTTTCACCCAATGATGTCTATGGGAGGGCTAGTGAAAACAAGATTCAGGATTTAAGGTTTTCCCTACTGATATGAATAATTGCTTATATCTAAAGATGTTATTATGTATATATTTCTGTAGTATTAGTTCCTATAGTTGCTGTAACAAATTATCAAAAAATATCAATAATCTTGTGACAAATTATCAACAAACTTGGTGGCTTAAAGCAATATACATTTATTGTTTTACAGTTTTAGAGGTTAGAAGTCCAAACTGGGTCTCCCGGGGCTAAAATAAAAGTACAGCAGGGCTGACTTCCTTCTAGGAGCTCTGGGGGAGAATCCATTTCCTTGCCATTCTCAGCTTACAGGAGCTGCCCATGTTCCTTGACTTGTGGACTGTTTCCATCTTCAAAGCCAGCAATGTGTGATTGAGTATGCCTCGTATGGCACTGCTTTAACAGGCTCCCTCTTCTGCCTCTATCTTTTGTTTATAAGGAAACTTGTGATTACATGGGACCAACCTGAAAAATCCAGGATAATTTCCTCACATTAAAGTTAGAGGACTAGCTGTTAGCTGGTTAATTCTCCTCTCCATGTAACCTAACATATTCATGTGTTCTGAAGATTAGGGTGTGGGCAATTTGGGAAGACCATTATTCTACCCACCACACATAATTTGTATACACTGATTGAACAGATTACATTTTTAGTATCTTATTCCAATAGCACTGTCCTATAATGATAATGATAATAATAGGTCATATAAGAGATCAAAAGATCAAATAAAAAGTTATCACAAATACTCTAAAAATGTTTAAGACATTGGCAGGCAACTCATCTTTCTAGAGAAATGCCTCAGCCAAGCAGTAGAAAAATTCATTCAGATATCATTTTATTTGTTAGTGTAAGATGTGACAGACTTCACTTGAACAGCTGGAGAAATTAAGTTAAAATCACAACATTTAGTGTATTGGCACACTTTTACAGGTATGTGTAGGAAAATTACATATTTTTTGAAGTAAAATCACTGCTTCTACATTTTAATGAGAAAACTTGAAGATAGATAGAAGCATTACATTTTAGCAGATATGCCTTAATAGAGGAAAACTGTCAGAAGATAGATCCAGTGTGAAAGTTTATACAGTTCCCAGTGATTTCTTTGTTATAAATAACATTTTTAAATGTGTACTTTTCTGAACAGAAAAAAATAGCAATTCACTTTATGAATACTTTCATATTTTCAATGCCCTTTTAAAAATAGTAAGTTAAAAGAGAATATTGTGATGTGAACTACAATATTTCTAAATTTAAAAAAAAATAAAGAACTCAAATATGCTAGTCTAATGAGATACAATATTTTTCACTACACTGAAAGGTTATGGAACAGAGTACTTCAGATTTATATACACAATTTTTACATTTACAGGCATGAACAATATTATATTTTGACACATTTATGTACTACTGAATAAGCATTTGAAATCACAATCTGTGAAATAAGTATAGAAAGAGCATATACCTCATTCTGATGTTAACCTAAAAACAGAACAGAAATGTTTAGTTTTGTTTTTTTTTTTTTGTGAAGTTTTGTGTTTTTATAGACTATTAGAATAGAAAATGGATATAACAAATACAGGTCTAAGTTGTTTCGGTAGAAATTTAAGCTCAGAACAATTCACAGAATGGTAAGATGTGTTTATTCAATTGTTTGTTTTATCTCTAATTTCCCATCTAGTTTACAAAACAACGAGCTTGCTCAAAATATGTCTCATTGTTACAACCGTCATTCCCTTTTTACTGTTTTATATTCTACCTCTTCATTCTCTTATGTTCCACTTTCTGTAACGGAGCTCATTACCAAGGTGATAGGGGACTAGTTTCAAAGGCAACATGAATCAAGAAAATATCAAGCCAGTGGTTTCCTTCAGGACATTCATATATGTTTTGTGTTAGAAAGAAAATCTTTCCTTGGGTGCAGTGATATCACTCTGAGAAACCAATTACTTTCCAAATATCTGCAATACTATTTTTGACCTAGCTAACTAAGTCATGTAGGAAGGCTTACTATAGCTATATGGTATAATTTTATCTCGTATTATCTACAGTTCTTACACAGTAAACAGAAAAATGGACTTAAAATATTTGATTAGTATTAACAATTGAACTATTTGTTTGAGTCATTTTTATACATTGGCCATCCACAGCTTGGCTTCTTTATTTCTGTGTAGCAATAATGATCCATAGTTCTCTCTGTTTACCTCAAACATCCAAAACAACAAGGGACATTTTTGAACAATCTATAATATTCTTCTTGGATCTAAAAAAAAAAAGAAAAAGAAGAAAGTAAGGAATGTGAAACATAACTGTAACAATCACATCAAATTATTTTCAAATCACAACAAATTGTTATATTTGGTTTTCAAAATTATTGTTGCTTTCTGATTATCTGTCAGAATACGCTCAAGTGAATGTAAGCTGTATTTATACTCCTACTAGCAAGTTTTTTAAAAGCACATTTCCCTATGAACAGCTAAGCATTCTGATTATTTTGACACTAAAATGTACTGCACTTAGGCAATAAAGGCACAAGTCATAAATCTATGAGAATGAGAATTTTTATCAATTTGGTAACTGATGCTACATAAATATGCTATAAGGTTGACAAAAATAACAAATTGCTTACCTTTCTAGATAAAACACACAGGAATAAGAAGATGAACATCCCCTGGAAGGCATTGCTGACGGTGAAGAGGTAAGCTGTCACCACCGATGCATGTACAACATGGAGCACTCCAAAGATCCAGGTGGTGCCAAGGAGGAACAGGAGAGCAAGGGCTCCTCTGGCACAAGACCTAGAATAAATTTGCAATGTTCCAGCTAAGAAAGCTATGCATACTTAACGTATCCTCATATTCCTCAAATTATGTGGGAAGTCAGTTTTTGAATAACCAAGAAATCTTCAGTAAAGACCAACAATTTTGAAACTGACAAATTATGCTATAGTTTTATGGGACAGGCTAGGGTATACTAGTGTACTGTGGCTGGGATGTGCTTCCAAATTCAAGGCAGCATTTTTAAAATCTGGTATTTTTCAAGGAATTTCCTTAATCCTAAAATATTTTCATCTGTGTGTATGCTTTTTTTTTTGCGGTACACGGGCCTCTCACTGTTGTGGCCTCTCCCGTTGGAGAGCACAGGCTCCGGACGCGCAGGCTCAGCGGCCATGGCTCACGGGCCCAGCTGCTCCGCGGCACGTGGGATCTTCCAGGACCGGGGCACGAACCCGTGTCCCCTGCATCGGCAGGCGGACTCTCAACCACTGCGCCACCAGGGAAGCCCTGTGTGTATGCTTTGATCTCAAATCTAATGTTGCAGGAACTCCCAAAGATAAGACAGATAGCTGTTAGGAAGTATTCTCCCTAAAAAACCTTGAAGAGTATACCATGTGGATTTAGGTCAGCACATGGGCAGGACATCAAAGAATACTTCTGCTTTCCTTTCAGGCTTAGTAGAGAACATGTAAAATATAAAACAAGATTTTTTTTTTTTGCCTTTGCAATACAGTTACCTCAAAATAAATTCATGTTAGAATGCTTATTTCTTAAAAAATACAGGCACATACTCACTTTTACACATTTTCAACTTATTGCCTGTGAGTTTTGGTAAAACAATATTCAATCCTGCTCACTGAGGACACTGCCTTAAAATGAGGTAACTAATACTTATTTTCTCATTCATTCTTAGTGCAATCATTCTTTGCTGCAGAAGATGTTTTTGCAGTGTACCACAGAAAATGAGTCATTCTCAACTTTATTAAAGCCAGCAAACTACATGTAACTATGAATGGTGAGGAGTAAAAGAAAGTAATCAATCAAACAATTGCTAAATCCTAACTATAAATCTTGTGCAAGATATTGAAACTACAGGAGTGTTCCCAAGAGACCCAAACATCAGTTGTTTCTAATGTTCCCTACAGTACACTTCAGTTTTTCCTGAACAAACCATTTTCAGGGTCTCAATAAATCAGTTTTAAAGGGAGGGAGCTGAGGAAAAATCATGGCGGAATGCAAACTAGAAATCACAAGGAAGAAACACAGTTACTAAGCATTGAGAAGTGCTTTGCAAAAGAAGATCACTAAGGCCAACTTTTGTCTTAAAATGCAGTCAGCGTCTTTTCTTTCAAAGGGGAATATGTTCAAAAAGATTGCTTTACTTACCATTTAATCTGTGGTGATTATAGGCTTATTAAACATATTAAATACTATTTAGCAATACTATTTAGTATTTTAAATATAATGGGGGGAAGTGTGAAAAAATCATTTAAAAATTGTCCTTCCAAAAATTATTTCTACTTTAAGTTACTAAAGCTTTTAATCACTAAAGAAAATACAGCTGAAGAAATACTTACCTTATGTTTTCACAGCAACTAACTTCTGGTTTCAACCCCGCAGTGTGACGAAAAACTTTGTATATGATTACTCCAAATGCCAAGAGATTAACCTGAGAATATAAATTAATTTCAAGAGATAATTTTCATAGTAAACTAGTTACATATAAAGGAAATAAACAAATAGCAAAGATATCAAATAAATAGAAACCAGTAAATCATGGCATTTTTATGTATATTAAGAAGTACAAACCCTCCGGTAGACATATGCAAACAAATATGTGGTTGATCTTTACAATATCACTGAAAATTGTCAGTACAAATCACAGTTAGTACAATTTGCCAGATTGTATTAAGCACCTGTTCAAGAACTTCTTCAGATGTTATAATCACTTCTACAGATTGATGAATTATCATCTTCTGCCAACAATATGGTTAATATACATATTAAGATACATTTTGGTTTGAAAAACTTTATGAACACTTGAGAAATCAAATTTTTGTTCACGAAATTGTGTGCTGTTTCTTTGAAAAGAAGTTTTAGTGATACTTCTGTCAATCCTTTGAAAATTTAAACTGGAAAAGAGAAATTGAAAGGAAATTTGAAAACAACAAAACACCCTTAATTTCTACTGTTAGAAAATGTTTGAATGTACTTTCTTTTGTATGGTTCATCTAGCTATCTCTCCTAATATTATGTTGAGATTTCCTTTCCCTAAATTTAATCTCATAAACTTTCAAAATATTAATCAGTGAAATATATGTTTAAAGGCATATGCATTTTGATAAACATTTATATTCGATTATATATACTCCACAATATCGTTTATATAGAATGCACAGAATTTTTACCCCTTCTAAAATGACTGCATTATGAAAAACTTACTCTTCTTTTCTTTCCTTTTCGTATACTTTTGGAGACTTGTAAGTCATATGTGCAGTGTGAGAGGATTAATTGAGGGGTATATTTTAAATGTATATCTATTTTAACATAAGCATACTAATAATTAAAAATATTAAAATTATAGAAATAATTTGTAGGTTAATCCTTTATTGAATATACTTTATTAATCCAAACAAATTTTTCAAAACCATTTTGTAACAACAGTAGCAAAGTGCAATATTTTAATTTTCATCTAATTCTCATACTAGAATTTCAGAAATTTATAGAAAAATTCTGTTTTTTCTTCCATATTCTAAGGATTTTATATAGCTTCTAAAAATGAAATTTACTAGTTCCTATTATAAAAAGCAGTATAAAATAATGGATCAGATAATTTCATGTTGTCATATCTCCATGGAGAGGTTCTTGAGAGAAACTCTTAGAGGAATATGGATCTAGTCCCTTCTTCCTGCTTCCAAATGTTTATTACTTCAATTATATGATTAATTAATTCTAATTATGGTAAGGTTTCCATAAAAAGAAAGACTTCAGCAATTGCAGAGGGGAGATAAAATATATTTAAATTGATTCAGTTGACAAGTTTCACCGTATTGTATGCTCAAATAACGAACTGAAATGACAATTTAATAATATTTAATTTTATAAATAGTCTCTGCTACTTATGAAAGAGAGATGCATAGCATTTTCTAGGCTTCTATAGCTATAACTTCTTTAAATAAATTTGGGAACACACTTGTATTTCATTTTATAAACATATATATGTTTTTTAAAATAATAAAAAGTATTAAAATTTGGTTAGTATAAATAATATACTCGAAATATTATTGATTTGAAAATCTTCAAAGAATTTTTATGAGGTGTTTATATTGAACTTGTTAACTCAACAGAAGAGTTATAAGATAAAATAACTTTAAATGTTAAAATAATTGTTCACTAATGCATAAATTTTCTAAGTTAGTGATTTAAATTTATAATATTTATTAAACAAAGTTTGTTAAACTTCTGTTATAGATAAAACAAATTTGAAAAATAGTTGCTTATATTGTTATGGTTTCTCAGAAATAAATATACATTTTGGATATGCTTTTACATCATATGCTAAAATAGTGAAGAGTAAAAATGGAACATTCTTTATGGGTGATCTAGCTGTGGAAAGTACATGTTTTCTACATAAAAGGGAAAATGTTTACATACTTATAAAAACCACGTGCTGCTAGACAAACAAGAGACAATTCTTAGTCCATAAACTTATATTTTCGCAATTGTAAGATAAAACAGATTAAAGCATTTTTATCAAAAGGTATTATGGTTTTATGCAATGAAAACAATCACAAATACATTGATTGTATTATCAATGACAATAATACAAATATATGGAGCTTTTTATTTGCATGTATTCAAAACATTTTATAAAACATTTCATAAACTTATTAAGAAAATAGATAGTAAAAAAAACTCATACAAATATTTACAATTCTACAAACTGTGAAAAATGTTACTAAGTCACAAATTTAGACTGTTAGGAGACACAAAATGAAGGTGGACTAGAATGAAGGTTTGGGAAGTATGTCTCTTAAGATTTAGCATTTTAAACCAGACGTGATGACTGATAATGCATTAGCAGATCAAAAATGAGGAAGAAAAGCATTCTATGAAGCAAAATGGCATAGAAAAAAGCCATGAGGCTTAAGAATATGGTATGCCTTTAAGGAATTACCAGCAGTGGTGGCTGAAGTGTAGTAAACATAGGGAAGGGTAGCAGGAGATAAGGTAGACAGAAGATGAAGAGTACTTAAATTTTATCTTAAATGCAAAGGTTTTTAAATTTATTCTTTCACTCAAGAATCACTTATGCACTATAGTCCTTTTCCTCAGGGAACTTACAGTACAGTGGAGGAGATGGCCAGTCAACAGGCAAGTACAACATTATTTAGGAAGTGCCATGCAGTTGTTTGCAGAGTAGAGTAGAAGGACACAGGTGATGATACCCTAATGTATGATTTCTAAGCCAGTCTTGAGTGACCAGTAGAGCCAAAGGAGTGAAACACAAAGAAAATAAGTGATTTGTCTGGATCTCAGTTGCTGGACCTGTCTATATATACTCACTGACTCAGACTCAGTGGCTCCAAATAATATCCTTAGGCTCCATTTAACTTTTCTGCTTGGAAATCTAATGGGCATCATGAGTTAAAATGCCAAAAATTAAACTGCTATTCTTCTCCTAAAGAACCTATTTTTGCTGTAACGTATCCCACTTCACAAAAAAAAAAGTTATCTCATTTTCTAGCAGATCAAGTTTATTCATCAGCAAACCTTTCATCTCTACCTTCAAAACATACTCAGAATATGACTACCATTTACCGTCTTCACAGCTCTTATCCTGGAAGAGGCCACCATCATGCCTCTTCTGGGTTATTGCAAAAGCCTCCTAATTGGTCTCTCTGCTTGCATCCTTGCCTTCCTACAATCTTTTCTCATTACAGCAGAAAGATTGAGCCTTTTAAAATGTAAGTCAGACCACTTCTCTAGTCGGAACCCTCCAATGGTTTCCCATCTCAGAGTTAAACCTGAGGATCTCACAATAGATTCAAAGGTCTGAATTGATATACTTCTTCCCTCAAGTCCTACTTCTCTGTGCTTTGATCACTTCACTCCACTCACATTGGATTCTCTGTTCTTCCTCCAGCACACAAAGCATGACTTCAGGCCATTGTCCTTGCTGGACCTTTAGATATCCCCTTAGCTCCTTCCCTCACCACCTCTGTTTAAATGCTCTTTATCTATCTACTGCCTCCCAGTGTACCTTTGTGAAAAACTGAAAACCAAATGATAGAATCAGACTCGAATTCAATTCTATGGAAATGCAGAGCATGATCGTACTCTTTACTGTTTTGGACAATGAAAATTCTGTATGTCAACATGCTCTTTCCTTGCCTTAGTCAGTAGGAAACTGACAAAGACTTTCCTTAATTAAACCACAGTCAAGTTCCTCTGAGCCCTCTTCTCATCTAGGCCTCGACCCTGAGCTTCAGTGACCCTGGCAGTG